CATTTACAGAAGATGTAATCCCTATACTCCTCAAAGTCTTCCATGAAGTTGAAAAGGAAGAAATCCTCCGAAAATCATTCCTGGAGGCAAGTACTATACTGATATCAAAACCAGGGAAAGACGCAACTAAGAATGAGAACTAGAGGCTGATCTCCCTCATGAACATAGATGCTAAAATCCTCAATAAAATACTAGCAAATAGAATACAGCAAATCATGAAGATGATCATACACCATTACCAGGTAGGACTCATCCCAGGTATGCAGGATGTTTTAATATTTGAAAATCTATAAATGTAACACAGTATATCAATAGAGCAAAAGTAAAAACCACATGATCATCTCCATTGATGCAGAAAAGGCTTTTGACAAAGTCCAACACTCATTCATGTTCAAATTCCTACCGAAAATTGGAATAGATGGCCTCTACTTCAATCTGGTAATAGTCATTTATGAAAACCCTACAGCTAACATAATCCTAAATGGGGAAATATTGAAATCTTTTTCTCTTAGATGTGGTACAAGACAAGGATGTCCACTATCACCATTCCTATTCAATATAGTTCTGGAATCTTTAGTTACAGCCATTAGACAAGAAAAAGAAATAAACGGAATAAGAATAGCTAAAGAAGAAGTTAAATTATTTTTATTTGCAGATGACTTGATACTTTACTTGGGAGACCCAAAAAACTCTGCCAAGAAGCTACTGGAACTAATATAGAAATTCTGTAACATAGCAGGTTGTAACGTCAATGTCGAAAAGTCAATAGCATTCCTCTACACAGATAACAAACACACTTAGAGGGAAATTAGAGAAACAATAACTTTTACAATAGCACTGAGGAAAATGAAATACCTAGGATTTCATCTAACTAAAGAAGTGAAAGTTCTTTTCAAGGAAAATTACAGTACTATGAAAAAAGAGATCGTAGAGGATTTCAGAAAATGGAAAGATATTCCATGCTCCTGGACAGAAAGAACCAACATTGTGAAGATGGCCATACTCCCAAAATTGCTGTACAGATTTAATGCAATCACCATCAGACTCCCACCAACATACTTCACAGAGGTAGAGAAATGATTCCTAAAATTTATCTGGAACCAGAAAAGACCTAGAATAGCAAAGGCAGTCCTGAGTAATAAAGACAAGGCAGGAGGCACTACAATTACTGAGTTGAAATTATACTACAAGGCTACTGTGATAAAGTCAGCATGGTACTGGCAACAAAATAGACCTGAGGATCAGTGGAATAGATTAGAAGACACTGAAGCCCCTTCAAACACACTCTGCCCCCTTATCTTTGACAAAGGGGCCAAACATGCTTACTGGAAGAAAGATAGCCTCTTTAACAAATGGTGCTGGAAAAACTGGCTCTCTACATGCGAAAACTAAAACTTGAACCAGGTCTATCACCATGCACTAAACTAAAGTCAAAATGGATTAAAGATCTAAACATTAAAGCAGAGACACTAAATCTCCTGGAAGAGAAAGCAGGA